CAGACAGACAAACCAACAGACACACTTAGCGCGTTATATATAGTAGGATAAGCCAAGCCAAGCCAGTAAGCCAAGCTAGTGTAAGCCTTTTCTCCATTAACTGATAGTAATTTTCTCGATGAAGGATCCTCAGCATTCTAGCGGCGAGATAGGGGATAAATCGCCACTAGAATGCTGAAGTTAACCGAAAGTTAACCGCATTTCATAGTCCAGCAGTACCTTCAGCAAAGAGCAGGTGCATTCGCGAGACGGACTCCCTGTTTCTGCTGTTTGAGGTCAATTTTTACTTCGTTACTTGAGCAGAGACTCCACGCGTGAGCAGAGACGTGGATTACTCCAAACGCGATTTGGGGTCGTTTTGAACGAACAAGTCTCTTAACAACCCTGGCTATGCACAGAGTGTACCCAGAACCCACGCCAGAGCCAAGCAAGCTTTTCGTGAGTACCCGTTGCCGAAAACACCAACATGAGTGGGCCTCAATCCCTCTGAACTTGAGAGAGCCTCACTTCGGTAGTGTTGGGTATGACCGCTCGGGAGAATCTCAAAGGCTTGACAGACTGCCTGAAAGGAGTACGAATTTTGACTAGGTGGCTTCTTTTTATCACCCACTAAGAACCTACGACTCCATCACACGTCACATCTTCACCAAAAAGTCAAGGCGCTAGTGGTAAGTGTAACACAGCGAAGACTGGAGAATCAGACACACTTACTTCTCTGTAGCACTTATAAGCTCTTATCATAAGGTTTTGCCACTAACAAAGGTGGGGGCTATGGCACTCTTCCCTTCCACAGCTCTTTATCGACCCTTATCATGTACTATCAGTCCTTGTCATCAACCAACTCCACGCCTATATCATCTACAAGAATGCCTATCTTCCATTATTAACCCGAAATAGAGAGCGTGACGAATTCAGCGACCCTCGTATTCGTGCTTCCCATAGAACGCTATCGGTTGTTACCAGCCTGTACCATCTGACATCTACGGCCCTAACCCCATATCTCCCACCGTGTTGTCAAGTTTCCGCTGTTGACGGGAAGGAGGTGATTCATTATTCGACTTTCAATTCCTAGCGCTCCTTTTCAGACCCTACCAGTTTACCTACTACCAATCACCCACAAAAACTTTACGGCCCACATCACTTAAAGAAGTGCCAGAGTTCCACATCAATACGGAGGGCGCGACGGACACTCCTACTCTCGCTTCTAACATATGGCTCCATCTTGGTTTCTATCAATTGCTATCACTACCATCAGCGCTCCCATACTGCTGCCTTTGCCTTCCTCCAGATTCGAACGCTATGGGTGGCCGGGAGGGAATTATGAATTCCGGCAAAGCACACACCAATACACACGTACGCATATACAACCCAACAAACACCCCTGGCAGATCATATGAAGTAGGATAGTAGGTCCCGTCACAGAAAAAACTCACTTCCAATCCACCATAATCCACCTTTACGACTTTTCTGTCACCGCAGTCTGGACTAATATTCTCTTTATACTTTTCTGAAAAAAACCGCTCTTCACTTAAAGGGACTTATTTTCTATTTACTGCATTGCTACTTACCTAAATCTTTGTTATCGCAACAGATGCCTACTTGCCATCCGATTTTGCAGCTTGAACCTTCTGGACACTTATTGCTTCGCTTATCGCAATCAGCACTACCATCGGGTCTACGGACTGGAGGCGAATTCGCTGGGCATTTCAAATGATCCACTTAATATAAATGTATCTGACATCACTTCAAGAAACTTCGCACTGTTTTAAAAAAGACGAAGTTTCGTTCAGCTTACTTGGCAAACACTCGTTTGTGCACTCTGAGCGGGAATGGAAATTGTTCGGATTTCCACCACATCCTGAGAATTTGAAAGGTAAACAAGTCATTGTTTCCGCGTCGAAATGATACTGAAAAGGGGAACTGCAAGAACTCAGTGTTAAAATTTGAAAAGGGAAGGGGTTTCGTAGTTATATAGCCGAAACAACGCCTATATGCCTCATTCGACTGCGTCAAACGAAGGAATTTCCAGTAAATTCCGTGACGGCATCTTCTAAGCAGTCTTGACAACTGGTGCGAGGAAAACCTGCCGAAGATTTCATCATTCCCATATTTCTAGACGTGTTTGAGATGGGTCTGATGCTAGACATTGTGAAGATGTGAGGCATGCTTGAACGGAGCATCAACATACGCGGTGCAGCTCGTGATCACTGCCTTACTTACTCATCATGAATCACTTCAATCACTTTTATTCAAAGAAACGATCATTTTCACTTACCTTAATAGCAGCATCTCGATCACAAAGTGTGTCGCCCATATCAACATTGTAATTGCAAGGATTCCTTGGTGCTAACACTGAACCTTCCTTTATTCAGAGCGCAGTTATTCTCGACAAGGTGAGAATATTTGAAGTGCAAAAACAAGCATCTGTTGAAGAGGATCGAGTTGTCACAAACTTTGAAAGGTGCTCAAACTTACTGTTATCAGTTTCATATGGTTTTTTGTACAGGTATTTATCCGGTTTCTCGTATTGCACGTATCCTCTATCCCTTCGCCATGCTGCAACCAAAGAGTTCCAAATTACGTTTTTCATAGGAGGAAGGAGGATCGTCTGCACGAGCACGGTTTTCCGACTTTATCGTTGATATAGAACTTCATTAATTCGCCAGGTGTGGTCTGTTCAACTTGATATTTTGTTAACTGCAGTTAGTTCGCCCATAATGCTCTTCGAAAGTCACGCAATGTTGGCGATTTATGAACAAAACTCCGTAACTCCGTATTGTGTTTGTTTGTATGTGTATGTCGGTGTTTGATCGATAAATTACAATTTTTGTCTCCTAGAGCGAACAAATTTAGAAGAGACACAGTTGGCATAATGGGATCGGCGGTAACAGGTGATAGGAACTTATAAGAAGGATGATCGGAAAGGAGGCCTGGAAGGCAAGCGCGACACGATCCATTACGCCTTCGTTCTACCAGCGTAACCCTGTTATTTTCGTAGGTGAAGTGAGTGTGAAGGGAACTTATGAGGTTGGTCATAGAAAGTGATAGCAATTGATGAGGAATGATGGGAGGTCTCAGAAGGCAAGAGCCACTAGGATGGTTACGACTTTCGCATCAACCTTGCAGCCATAAATTTTTATTTTGGTGGGGTGGGATGTTACGAGATTGTGGATGGTTGACGATAGGAAAAGATAACAACTGATAGAGACATGGAGTGAGCCCTAAAAGGTCAAGATTGCTCACCGGAGATGCGTGAGAAAAACGGTCAGCAGTGTTTGATGATGCCTAATGCCAACTTGTGTGAAACCTTACCTTTTCTCTTTTCTGAAAATTTGATCTGTCTGTGGATGAAAACACTAAAAAAGGTCATCTTGCCACAAAAAAGGGAAGCTACGCCTCTAGTGAATGACGTAACGAAATGATCCTTATAGGTTCGCGACTAATGTAGACAATAAATAGTCGTTGTATTTCACAACACATTAATCATCGAGCCCTCGTGACATTTCACACTTCTCATGGGGTAACTGGCGCAAAATAAAACAAAACGACTTACAAAGGAGCACACAAAACGCTCTATATAAGTACCAGTCGCTTAGCAAGGCTAACACTGGGCAGGACTAACAGGGCAGTGCAAATAGTATCCAGTGAAAGTCGGGCAGTGCGAATGGTATTCAGTAAAAGTCGGTGCTTGCGGCTTTGGCTGCCCTATCGTAAGGGTGCTTATCTCTGCACTCACCACTGTTGTCACCCTGCTCTTGCATCCCGTCCTATTGAATGAAACATACTGAACGGTCAAAGTTACATCATGAATACCGAAGATGTTGGGATTTCTATCGGAAGGTAGCCCCTATTAGGTCCTTCATCTTCTTTTATCAGTTATTATCATTTCCTCACACCGAATACCTACGGTCCCACCGTATCCTACATCACTTATTGAAATGCCGAGATTCCACTATTAATACGAAAAGTGTAATCCAACCGAATTTTAATGCTCTAGGTCCATGTAAACAGGAGTTATGAATCTGCGGTCCAAAATTTCTATTGTGCACGCCTCACCCCTGTCGGCGAAGTCGGGTCCCGCCGCCCACCATAACTGTTCCCATCCTGACCCCGTACTCCTACCAGGTTTGAACTCTCTAGGTCCACTTGAACAGGAGTTATGAACTTCCGGTATACACACACGCCGACACACACACCCACAAACCACACACAAATACGCCGACGAACCAACAGACAGGCTTAGCGAATTATATATACATATATATATTATATATGTAGTAGAATGTGTGGATGGATCAAGACCTAATGAAGAATCTCACTGGAGTCATAATACACTGGTGTGCAAACCTTGGAGGCGATATGGAGAGAGTAAGACAAGACATACGACAGGGTGGAATTACAGGAACGTGTGATGCTAAACGTTTGACGCTTATGCTCCAGAATTCGAACTTCACTCCGAGAAATGGAAGCTTGAATAAGTCGCGAAATTTGGCCGCCCGCGCAAATCGAGGCAGTTGATACATATGTATGAAGAAAAGTTTTTACCAATCAACGAGTAGCTATGGCACCCTTTCGTACATTTCCGCCTACATTGTCTGAAGGACTTCTCAAACGAGGAGGGATCACCGTGAGACTGGGAGGACTAATCATATTGTGACGAGTATAGCTCAGGCACTCTGCATAGCCCAGATCATTATGCATGGAGAGCGTTTCAAGCCTCTGTCCGATGAAGAGGGGAGAAGGCATTTACAACGATTAGCTTGCGCGAATGCAATGACATAAAGCGGGACTTCAGAGCAGGATATCTAATGGAATCATCTACAGTGGCTATACGACTGCACTACGGCGGTCTTTTTGCCCAACGAAGAATGGAGTGCATAGCGAATGGACAGATGAGGAATGGAGCTGTGCTTATCTCGGAGGGCCGTGCAGACTCAGTATGAGCAGTGATTATGGATGAACACTCATAAGGTGGGAGAAGGGAACACGCTGCTCTCGCAGGAACATTGTCAAACGTGATCGTTTTAGTTGCCGAGGTGTTAATGTATGGGTAGATATGCCACAGACATCATATGCCATAGTCACAATGACCTTCAAACTTTTGAGCGTGGAGTTCTTAAAAGGCAGCGTTACTGTTACGAGATATTCCTTCCTCACATGCGTCTTCTCTGAGCCCTATTCTGCCCTGAATTCATTGCTGTGGCTGCTATCATCCGCATAAAAAGCACCAGACGGATGAGCTTCTGAAAAGACAGGCGATCAAATGGACTCACTGATGCTTCTGCCTAGTGCATCGCGCACGCTGTCGAGGTGGCATGGTAGAGATGACATCTGTGCTCCATACCATAACACCTCGACCCGCGTGTGCGATGCACTGGGTAGACGCATCGCAGCACTTTCAAATGCAACAATGACCATCTAGCAATTGCTAAATGCGTTAATAGAGGAATGGGGTGCTCTATCATAGGATTCATTACCAAGCTCATGAAAGTACGGGACAGCGTTGCGCAGTATGTATTGCTATTTGTGGTGATCACACACCCTTTAAGGGACCGTGCCACTTGTTCTAAAGTACCAGGACAAATTGTGCAGAGTTATGTGTAATCTGTGTCTTCGTATAGAAATGTCATATTCATTCGTTTCGCTCAGAATTTCCTTCAGTTTCTTTCTGTGCAACACCGCAATGGCCTTCTGTTACTGTAAAACTTCCAACATTTTGTATGGCAAAGGTACAAAAATCAAATGTTGCTTTAATTTTTAGTTGTGCACCAAAATATACAGCTCGTTCCATAAGCATAAGATCACAAACAAAGTTGGGGTTTGCAGGCTGAGCAGCCAAGCGGGAAAGTTTAGAGCACTACTATCAGATTTACTACCCTCAATAACCTCCATGCACGGACATTTTCTGGATTATCTTTGAACATAACTGTTTGTAAATATTTTGAATTTTGCTCTGTTTCTTAAGTGTAAGATCACTTTGAGAATTCGAAAAAATTATCATCAGTGACGACAAAAAACATTGATTGGTAAGTAGTCAATGGGTCTCTCTTGTTCTGGACCAATATTTAATAGCCTACATGGTATACTGGGAACAGAGTTTCGAGCGACCTCGCCGAAGATTTCATTCCAACATTCGAGTACTGCCTGCTTGAGCCTTTCTATTGCATGGATCTGACGGTTGCTCACAAAAATCTTATATACAAGGATGCTCCACATATTCTCCATCGGGTTCAGATCGGTGCTGCAAGCTGGCCTTGCTAGAACTCCTAAGTTTCGTGAAGGGAACCAGTCTTTCGTGGAGTGACTAACGTGGATCGCAGAACTGTCCCGTTGAAAAACGTAGTTACGACCACGTCTCCGGTTCACAAATGTCACCAGGTAAAATTTAAGAATTAAAGCCCTTGGAGCCCCTTTTGGAGGTCACGAGTGAGCAAGCTTCTGATCGACATCTTTGCAGAGGGCACCGTACCATGACTTTTCCTCCTCTAAAATTGCGACGACTAGAGGTGATCGGCTGTTTTCGTAAAACATGTCAGTAGCAGTAGTAACCATCGAGGCCTTCCGATTATCTTTCTTTTCATCGAAAAATACGGACTGAACGAGAGTATTGGATTGTACGGCTAACGGACTCACCTTATCTCATCCCAAATTCAACCATTCAGCAATTCAAGTCGTGCCTTCCTGCTGTGGTCGGTAAGCCTCGGAGCTCTCTTCATTGCTGCCTTGACGATGTTGCTGCTCTTTTTCACGGCTCTCCATTCAGTTTTTGGACACCGAGAGACCCATCACCAATCGAGCCTTGTTCAACGGCAAGGTTTTGAACGAAATAGCTCTCAGCATTCGCCTCAGGTCATTCGCCGTTAGCTTACGCGGGCATCCTGTCCTCGCGGGGACTCTGTAGTCTCAAATATCTGTGAACGGAACTGAGAGATCTCACAATTTTTTTCCTAATTGCCCTCGGGCTGAACCCTGAATCACGAAAACTTTGAGCTGATGACCTCACGGGGGCAAAGTATATACTGCTTCCAAACATATTTGCGACACATTCTTCCTTTGGGTGCAAATTCTGCTGCACTAGATTTCGAAACCTTCGCGCTGTAGAGGGTGATCTTATACCTATAGAACGGAGGAAAAAACGCCTCTTATCTATAGAGCAGTAAATAGGTGTATCGGTTTGTCGATTTGTCGGTCTGTCACTTAGGTGGGTACTTCAAAACTGTGACTTCGATCTCTGTAAGCACGTGCTATGTACATATGTCTATTCAAAAATCGAGGGGAAATAATAAATGTAGTTGAGAGACATCCGCTTTTTTTCAACATTACTGCTTTATAATTAGGAAAAATTGAGCGCTAGAGATAGGGAGATCGGCCCATAATTGTGCTCAGCAATGTTTTTCAGCCAAGATCATACAGTTTTTTGACCTCGCTTCAGGAGAGAAGGGCCCCGGGGTAGGTGAGTCAATCGGATATTCAACTTACACCCCATCCTTGCTGCTAGGTCGACTACCCATCCTTCTTTTCACCGTAGTCATTATTATTGAACAGGTCGGCATTATTATCGAGGCCGTCTAGTAGAAAAAAACCGCATAT